GTTTATACGTGTCACTGAATATTTCTAATGGCCGGCCAAATTATCGCTTACGATGCGACGCGAGGAAATCACCACGACCGTGTCTTCCCTGTGCATGTAAGTCGAAATCTCGTTCCAATTATTTTCTTCCAGCGAAACGATCCTAGCGTCGTAATAGCGTTAACCATGATCGTTTGTTCCGCGGCTGCGTTTCAGTACCGGAGAGCTTTTAATGATCCACCACCGATAATTAAGTGCACTACATCGTACACGAAATTCGATCAACCAGCTGCCCCAAAAACTCTAATGTAAGACGTTGCCAGGATTTTTAACCGTTCGAAAAGTGTTGTTCAGAATCTCGATTATATTTAAGAATTTTTTCACACGGGTCCCTCTAACTCGACATTAAGATGAATGAAATGGAAACACAAAGCAAGTTACACCGGCAAATTAGTAAAAGAATCAAGGATCGTTAATTAACGACACGAACGGGAGCCGAGAATTAAGTTACCTTAAGCTTTACTCTCGTTTGTACTTGCTTTGAAACTAGTGTTTCAAACTTTCTTCAAAAAGGAAGTGCAATCATGAAAGAGAGCAGCTATTACGTGTACTTGCTTTCAATTACAAAGTATATACATGACTGTAAGCTGCATAAAGTTGTATCACAACTTAATGCACGCCATCCAGTAAAGGGAACAGTGACGGAAATACTCTTTAAATGTTTGTTTTATTGCAATCTTAATTATGAGAAATAGGAACTAAGAACATCCGCAGACGCTTCTTTTTTAATAATTCATTCAAAGGCGAGGAATTTCTTTTGGAGAAGAAGGCAAGGATGGACTTCCCGGCGCGTGTTCGCCTTGCCTCGGGCGTGATCGCTGTAACGAAAGTCTCAAAGAGAGTTTCTACGACCGATGTAGAACGGATGAGACAGAGGGAAAGAACCGGAGGTATTCGCAACTACCGTCTTACCTTGTTAAGAGAATAATGCCCTTCCAGAGCGGCCGACTTCCCCAAAGGTAGACTAACGAGAGTCAACGATGCGAACGTAAAAAAAAATGAGAGGAACGACACCCCCTTTTAACAAAAGCCAATCAGTCCGCCGAGTTCGTTGATGCAATGCCTTTGAAGTTGAGAGAGAAGAACGCTTGCGGTACAATAATTAGAACATTCCTCGAACGGCGTAGTTACTCGTTTAATCACGTTCAGCCTCGTTACAAGGGTTGAAAATTGCTAAGCTTCAACCCTTATGTGCACTATCATTGAAATACTAATTAGGCTTTGGAGACCATGATTTCTATGTAAAAACTCTGTTCTCATTAATAATGCTCCTTATATCATGAAATTATACGTGATATCCTCTGATGATCTTCAAATTAACCCTTTCGCTTCGAGTGCCGAATGTATCCGGCATCCACACGGTCATCCCATGGAATTTCGTTCAATGACGGCACTTTGGTAGACTGGACTGCCGAAGCGAAAGGGTTAAACAATTTTCGTTACGTATTCGATAAAGTAAGAGATAGAAGGAATTGAAAACCACTCATTAGAATTTCAATTTCATTTTACACGTCCGGTTGAAATATTAGATAACAAAAATCGGTTAATGATCATAGGACATGGATATGCTGCAACTGTTCGCCTCGCCGGCGGGTCGAGCACTGCTGACGGGCGACAATCGGCGGAGAGGATCGACGTCGACTTCCTCCATGTCTCGAGAGTCTTCTTCGAGGACGAAGAGAGGCAGAAGACCATCGGGGACGGTTAGCGCACCGACCACACCACCGAGGCAACGGAAGTCCAGCGTGGAACTGTACAAAGAAGCTGCAGAAATCCTCGGTCTTACCTGTTCATTAACTGATAGCTGTCGATGCATCGATTGCCAGGTGAGAACTTCATATTTATTAAAATCAACGCGTTGGAACTTGATATCTCTAAAGGGTAAATAACAGATAGGAGAAACCTTACATAAGTTGAATTAAGAAAGTTTAACCTGAATATTCAGTTCCCTTTTAACAACAGTAAGTTGAAAGTACATTTATTCAGTCAGCTACGCGGAGCGCGCAATTAGTTCGAATCAGCAGGAATAATCTTGCAAATTAAGGGAGATATTGTCTCTATTTCAGAATTAATTGCCTAGCCTCTGTGTACCAATTACCACTGTTGAAGCGAAATGCGATTTCCATTCGCTTGGCTATTTTCTTGACAACGCGTAAATATTTCTCTGTCCCAGTTTTAACAGTGGGGCGGCACATCCGCGATCAGTTGCCGTTCTCGTTTTTGGAAAAGCAGTGGAAGAAAATAAAACCGCGGAACCGGCTGCGCGAATTTAATTAAAAATTTTATTGCGTATCAGTTAGCTCGCAACAATTTCGGTCACACGAAAATTTCAAACCGTTCCACGTACAAATTCGTCCCATCCGAAATGTTGACATGAACAAATTTTCCTTTTTCCAAAAAATGAAGGCAACGTTAACGAGACCTCCAATTTTTAAGATTACGCTATTTCTCGTTCGTAACAAAAGGACTTTCGAACTTTTTATGGCCAGAGAGGTTTTATATTCAGACTACAAAGTCTCGAGAATAAAACGGATAAGAATTCAACTTGTACAGTTAATATTTTGTCGTACTTTCTACTTTTTAATTATTATCATACCAATTAAAATGTCTTTCGTTAAAAATCCACGTGAAGAACTCATGATGCGTTTTTTTTGTAAAATAATTGCATTGAGTATAAACCTTTGTAATAGTATGATATCTCGTTTCTTTTTTAGAGCAATTATTTCGACTGCGACGAGGATTTTGGCGACGCGAGGACGGAATTGGCTGCCGGGACACCGATTCTGCTGGACCATGCTTTGTCACATCCGTTAACGTGTTCCATACAGTAGCAGCCGAATAGCTCGTTTCGAAATCGACTCTGTGCCAGTATACTCTGCCGTCTGACGAACCGGAAATCATTCAGGTGTCGAAGATTCACCAGGAACATTGAATTCGAGACGAAAAGTGGATATATGCAGCTATTCGTTGCATATAATTTAATCGCCGTACATATTGAAGTATATACGCATTAATTTAAACAAATTACAAAAAGGGCAAATCGCAGTTGGCTTTTCATTACAATTTCACGAAAGGGTAATGTGAACAATTTCTACTAAGAATTTCTATGCCGAGAATCCGCACAAGGGTCTTGACTCTCGAAGAAAATATCGAAGCTTGTCAACTGTTTGCCTTCCTCCAACGTTAATTGCGTTCGTTGCATTTTTTTACGAAATCTATAACGAACAGTTGTATGGATGTGTACAAAGAGAGACAAAAGCAGGAATGAGATGTTAGAAAAGAAAACAGCAACCAAGAAGAATGTAATAACCTTAAGATTTTGTATATTTAAATTGCGTTTAATTGTAAAATGATTCATGTAAGAATTTACTTAGGAGTACAGACGTACGAAGTTTTGATTGTAACAATCACTGAGAAACAGGAGACTCGCGACGCAACATCACGAGCTTCATTTTATCATATGTTCTCCTCGATGGACAACCAGTTTTGACGATAATCAATGTAACAATTTTGCGAACGACAAACGTATAATTTATGGACAATATTTAACGAACTAAGTCGCGGTCCGATTGCCTCTTTTTTTGTATGAAATGCAGGCTTATACATAAATACCTAAATACATTTATGTACAAAATCCTTTCCCTCTTCCCGATCATACAACAATCCGTCAAGTAATCACGCTGATCACTAAATTGTTATAAAAGGAAGTAACGTACAAAATATCGGCACGTTTTTATTAAGCATTTATATACCATCGAACGTGAAACATTCAATGCGATGTTACAAACACTGCAGAAAAATAAAGTATAATATAATAATGAATGATAACGCATATGACAAAAGGACACATTCGCCTGACTCGAATTGGGCGGATTTGTTCGTCGAACGTGTAACGAAAGATGCCAAACGATATGAAATACGCCAAATTTCTATTACGATTAAAATTACTAACGACAACAATAATTAAGGATGAGTAAACGATAACTCTAATCAATAATATATTTCGAGGATGTGTGTAGGAAGGAAAGTGTGTACACGGTCAATACGTTCGATCACTAAATAATGGTTTAAACAGTTTGTTGGTGTACTATATGACGATGAAGGATTATACATATTATTATACATACATAGTGTATACATACGTATTATATTTACTACACGTTTTATTATTACACTTACTCCATGAAGACTAGTAGGGTATATACGTTGTTATTGAGCTCACGATAAATTAAAACGTAAAACGAAAGAATGATTCAGCAATGAAAATGAAATAAGAATACAGAATACGACTAGAGAAAAAGTGAAATGTACTGACTAATTGAAATTCGTACGTACAAGACCGATATACGCAATTAAAGTTTATAAAATGGAATTTTTTTCTTCGCAATGTTCTATTTCCGACAAAAGAGTATAATTAATTTCACAAAAATCAATGCCTCCTCTTGGAAATTTAGTCTCCAGTTAAGGATGTATT